CTCAGGTGATCCTACTACCTCAGCCTCCCAAGTTGCTGGGACATATTGTCACATGCTACCAAGCTTGAATAATTTTTTTTTCTTTTTTTTTCTTAAGACAGGGTCTCCCTATGTTGCCCAGGCTGGTCTGGAATTCCTGGGCTCAAGCGATCCTCTCACCTTGGCTTCCCAGTGTTGGCATTACAGGTGTGAGCCATTGTACCCAGCCTATTCTCTTTATCTTAAGCATTCAGAGTAGGATCTTGAACATTTAAAAAATTTTGGCTTAACTTTTAAGTTTCTTATATGCTATTAGACACCAAATTCTATTGATTTTTTTCCTTTGAATGGCCTTTGAAACCATACTTTCCAGGGCTTTGCTAGCTCAGGCCTGGGATGATAGCAGGTTTCCCAGCTAGCTACCTTCCCCCACCTCACCCTCCATCCTGCCTGGTCCTGACTAATCAAGTCATCCTTTCCTACCATTGTCTCATCAAAAGATTCTGCCAATTCTTTCTCCTTTCCTTCCTTCTTTTTACAAGCATTTATTAATCCCCTAACATGAACAATCTCTAAACATTTTTTGTGCTAATCTCACGCTCCCTACTTATCCCAACCAGTTTCTCAGTATATTCCGATCATAATGTCCCATCTAATGAGGCATGACTCCAGTGTCCCACAGCCATGCCAATAACCCTGACTCTTGCTTTCCTTCACATCTTCAAATGATACTTGAAGCTATAGCTGAAGTCTCGTCTCTTCTTATGGACACTTCAGTCTTCATTGACCTTTCACTCCACTGAACTTCTGTAGTCACACCAAACTGAACTCTTTAAACAGTCTTTTATCCTTTGCTCCTTTTGATTAATCTGAAACCCTTGCTAGCCTTGTTACAAATCATTTATTTCACTTCTGAATATTCACCAGTCTGAGCAGTTATAGATGCCTCTTCACACATGCATTTTGTCTGATTTTTGAGTCTCCAATTTACCTGTGGAACTGTCTTTTAGGTTGTTTGATATATTCATTTATTAAACACCTTGGCATTATCCCAGGCACTGTTTCTAGATGCTGAGAACAGAGTGGTTATTTAGAGAGGATACACAAAAAATAGCTCTCCATCCTGGCCTCATGAAGAACAAGAACATTTCAGAGCCAAGCTTCAGGGAGTTGTTCTAAGACTGGACATTTTATTCAGGTGCGATGACAGATCATTTGGTTGTTCCATAAGAAGTGTCTAAGTTTTTAACAAGATTCCTGCCTTTGATGAATTGCTTTCTTGACCTCATGGGCTCCTTCTTGTTTACGATTTCTGCATCTTCATTGCTTCTCTTAGTAGTTTCTGCATACTCACTTCTTTGGTGCATCTTTTGTTTTGTTTTTGCCCTTTCATAGGGATTCCCCAAAGAGAATGTGATAAGGTTGTTAGTTGTTGGCTGGTCACGGCGCTCATTCCAGGACCCTCTTACAGACTAGACTGATGGTGAGCCTACACTGGCAACTCTTGGATCAGGCACCTCCTTCAATCCAGCTGTGATCAAGAACGGAGGGATCACTCTGCAGGTTTTTCCATGTAGGGCCTGAGACACTTCTCTAAAATAAGAAAGTATAACTTGAAGGTGCCTTGGTTCACTTTAATAAAATCTGTAAATATCTAGCATCTAGAAAAGTGCTTGGACCACAGTAAATTAGCTCACTAAACTGTATCTAGAAGCATTGTACATATACATATTTTCATCTTAATACCAAATGTGACAGTCACCTGATCCTAAAACCAATTTTATAGTCCCATTTGGTGAAAAAAAAGTTTCAATCTATATAAAGAAAACCTCATGTATTCTGAGATACTATTACTTCATTGGTCCTCATCTGACCACAATGCATTTGGCAAGGTCATACAATATTATTATTAAAATGTTCCTTTTCTGAGACAAGAGTCTTGCCCTGTCACCCAGGCTGGAGTGCAGTGGCATGATCATAGATCACTGCAGCTTTTAACTCCTGGGCTTAAGTCATCCTCCTACTTTAGCCTCCTGAGTAGCTAGGACTACAGGTGCACACCCTTACAACTGGCTATATTTTTTACTTTTTGTAGAGATAGGGTCTTGCTTTGTTGCCTGGGCTGGTTCTTGAATTCCTGGCATCAAGCAGTCCTCTTGCCTCAGCCTCCCATAATGCTGAGATTACAGGTATGACCCGCTGTCCCTGGCCAAAAGTTTCTTAAATTCTATTAAACGAGCTTTTATTTTTGAGGTGTTGAACACTCTGAACTAAATTTATTTCACTTTCTTTTTTTTTTTTTTTTTTTTGAGATGGAGTCTTGCTGTGTCACCTGGGCTGGAATGCAGTGGCCGGATCTCAGCTCACTGCAAGCTCCGCCTCCTGGGTTTACGCCATTCTCCTGCCTCAGCCTCCCAAGTAGCTGGGACTACAGGCGCCCGCCACCTCGCCCGGCTAGTTTTTTGTATTTTTAGTAGAGACGGGGTTTCACCGTGTTAGCCAGGATGGTCTCGATCTCCTGACCTCGTGATCCGCCCGTCTTGGCCTCCCAAAGTGCTGGGATTACAGGCTTGAGCCACCGCACCCGGCCTCACTTTCATTCTTTATAAAACTGGTCATTTGACTCAATTTATTTCAGATATTTTATTCTAGGCTTAGACATTTTTCCCATAAGAATTGTTACAATCTTGATTGCCCATGAAATAAAGCCTTTTCTGGCATTTCTTAACCTTGCATGGAATGTTGTGATTGCCTCTATAAATTTTTCTGGTATATAGCTATGGCATAATAGAAACTAGCTTGCCTTGTACTTGGCTAAAATGTGAATCTTTAAAAAAATGCAACTCAGGCCACGCACGGTGGCTTACGCTTGTAATCCCGCTCTTTGGGAGGCCAAGGCGGGTGGATCACTTGAGGTCAGGAGTTCAAGACCAGCCTGGCCAACATGGTGAAACCCTGTCTCTACTAAAAATACAAAAATTAGCTGGTGGCGCACGCCTGTAGTCCCAGCTACTTGGTAGCATGAGGCAGGATAATCGCTTGAACCCAGGAAGTGGAGCTGAGATTGCACCATTGCACTCCAGCCTGGATAACAGAGTGAGACTCTGTCTCAAAAAAAAAAAAAAAAAAAAAGTGCAATTCGTGAATTATTTTTCAGTTCCAGTCAATATTGTTGTCTTACTCTCAAATAGGTAAATTCTCATTCACTTTAAAATCTTTCTTGAAAGTGTCATGTTGGCCTCAGCTGCAGTTTGCCTTACACATTTCCATCTTATTACTCCTTTCAACAACCTCTGCTGATATTACACCCTTAGTCAATCTTCATAAAATCACTTACCTCTGCATCAACAACTTGACCCCTCAGTTGCTGCATTACCTTTATTCTCTAGGCAAGTTTTTTTTTTTTTTTAAGAATGCTGGTATCATGGGATAAAGCACTCAAGAGTTTCCTATTTTTCTTTGGTATGAAGGTAGTGTACTGGCGTTGAGAGGCAGAGACCAAAAGGCGTGTTGATACATGCATCCTCAGAAGCTTGCCTTATTCAAGAATATTTTGGGATATAATCAGTGAACTAAAGGTAAAAGACATTAAATCATAGAGGAGCATAAAATCTACACCTCCCAAAGCAGAGAAATGGATTGAAGCTGAGAAAAACATTCTGAGGACTTCAACCTGTATGTACGAAAACACAGATCCAGGTCTGTGTGGCCTCTTTGATTAGGGTGGACAGCATCAGACCTTCACCAAAACCTTCTACAATATCCCTAAAACTTGGCAAAGTTCTATTATTAACATAACATAGATTAACCTCTGTCCCTGCAAACTGTTACACTTGGCAAACACTTATTTCTTGATACCCTTAAGTGGAGACCAGTCTTGTGCTACACAGAGGTATCCTAAAACCTAAGTCTAATAAAACCTAAAAGGGTAACAAACCATGGCCTATTTGTCACGGTCTCATATTTTTAGCAGAACAGAAACAGTGATGATAAAGAAGTTATTTTCCAAAACATCAGATTCTTAGTATTTTTTTTTTAAGCTTAAGAAAATTAAGCTTTCTGAGTGACAGTTTAGGAAAGTCCCTGAGGAATGGGTTTAGAGTGAAAAGACAACATAGGTGAGCATGTAACAACATACACAAACATGCAGGTTCTTCATTTTTTAAAAGGTGTGGTTGAAGCTACTAGAATGGTAAATAAATAAATTGCCTGACTCTTTTGGTGTCCAGGTTTTCAAAATTTACTCAGCGACACAGCTGGCACAAATGCCTTGGAAAGACCTTGAAGCCTGGCCCTGGCCATTTTCCTGTTAGCTTCTGGAGGGACCTTCTTCCCGCTCCACTTCAGACTCCCTCGCATTTTCGTGTTTGGTGCCTTGGCTTCCGGTTGCTTCTACTCCGACTTCTGAGACTTCTCAGTGGCTGATGGATAATACTTTTAGTTATGCCTGCTTGAGGAAAAGAAATGAGTCACTCATTTAAAAATGTGCTTAAGCAGGCTGCTACTTAACTGATTTTTACCTTTTAAAATTAAGTGCCCTTCTGATAGACTAAAGTATTATTCAGACACGAGACATCAGCACTCATATCAATATTGTGTACTAATTAGAAGTCCAGAATCACTAGCTAAATTGTACTCTTCACTTAATGATCGTGACCTTGAATGTCAGTTTAAGTTCTCTGAGGTCCTGTCTCTCAGTATGTATACCGGGAACCAAAATATTATGTACCATAAAGATTATTGTTGGAAACGGTTGAGAAGAGACAAATGTTATGCAAATATATTGTGACAGCATCTTCATTTTCAAGAAACACTGAATTCTGAATGTGGTTTGGTTGGTGCTAACATTAATGATATTAATTGCTTTGGATCAACAGAGATCTGCCTAAAATAAATAGGCTATTGGGCAGTTTCCAATAACCCAGAGGCTAAATCTCTTCAGCCGAAAGACTTGCTTCTGCAGGAGACTAAAGGCTTCTATTCCACTTTAATAATAAAAAGCATGCATGATTCATAAAGTATATAGGCAAGGCTTTACATTATATTTATTTATTTTCCAGCTTGTACAAACTGGATGTAGAAGCATAAACATAGTACATTTCTACCATCTTCAACAAAAATATAACCAATATGTACAATTATTGTATTAAAAATACAAAAGGGATACAGACTCCACCAATGTCTTTCTAAAAGACATACAGGTACAAGTAGTATCAAAAGTATGAGGAAATCACCAGTTAATTGTACATTCTGCACTTGACATCACAGAGCGAACTGAGATTAGCAGTCCTATGTTCTACAATTACTTAATGCTTAGATAACATTTGTGCAACTTGTGGTAGAGCTAGATTTCTGTCTTTCTATATGCACATGAGGTCCATAGCCTATATAATAAAACTGGCAAATAATGCATATTACATGTAAAATTACAAATGCATAATTGACAATGTAATATATAAGTAGACAAATGCCATGATACAGAAGAGAATTATTAAATAAAGCACTGACATTTTTTGATACAGTGAAAAAACACTGCAATTCCACTTTTAAAATTTGAAGCTATTTACGTTTATCTACTGATCAATATGATCAGCTGAATTTAATGGAAAAAAAATCCAAGACCAGCAGTTCCTCACATTTGAGTACTACTCAGATTGGCAGCCTTCACTTTTCCGGAGTCTGTGCAAAAACAACACAAAAATAGAGTGGAGGGGTCATTTCAGTCATTAAAGGGTTAATAGCAGCTGTGAGCAGATGGTTGCTACACTTAGGCCTTCTCTATATGCAGCGTCCATAAAGCCACTGGGAGGTTAGTCTTTGGTGACTAACCTGCCTTGCAAAGGCTGGCATATCTAACTAGGTTTTTGATCTTTTATCACATTTAAAGGCTTGTTTATTCCCTAATGCCAATTCAATAAAGGGAGGCTGTCTTGAAAGAGCAGTATAAACAGCTGGCATTAGCTCCAACATCCCAAGCTGCTTTCACTGCAATGCTATCCAGTTATAAATGTTTCTCTTAAAAAAAAAAAAAAAGAAAGAAAAACAAAACCTAAACCTCTAAATTAACAAAAATCAAAGAAATATAACTTAAAAATGGGGTTTGCCATCCATCTCAATGGAGCAGGACACATCCGCCAATGACACCGTCCTGCCTCCATAAGGCTCAGACAAGACACAAGGGTCCTAGTTCCCTCCCCTGGCCATGTGCAAACAGTTTTACAGAAGAACCCCATCCACTGGGGAAGGAGCAGATGAGGTGTCTTGGTATTAATTGGCTAACATTTCATACTTCCAGGATAGGGCACTTCGCGGGTGGGACCAGAAGGACATGGGAAGCCAGGGTCACAAGCCAGGTTTTCCCGTCTTCTTGGTGTGGCCACACCCTGTCCGGCATATTTGGTTTTTCAGAAACCAGGCTGGCAACCCTACTTAAGGTTTAAAATAATACTGTAATCATTAAATGGATATACATTTACTCTCTGAACAAAATCTCTAAACTCATTTTTTTTTTTTTTAAAGGAGGACATTGTAAACAAGTGGACAAGCACTGTACTCAAAGGATTTCATTGTTTTTCTTTGTCTTCCTTGGTGAGTTAAAGGCCCCAAGTAGTTCAATGGCTAGCTTTTCTCATTATCCCAATGAGATCAAGTGCTAGGACTGGATTGAAATCTAAAAGGAAGATTAAAAAAAATCCTTCCAGGCATTGAGAAGTGCAGCCAGAGTGAATCATCTTGTTGGGATGATCTTGGAATTTGGAATGATACTGTGTGATGTGGCAGGCAGCAACAGTGGGAGCTCGAAGATTGCTGCACTGTGCATTTCAAGCAACAAAGTCTGAAAAGTGCCAGGGCAATTTCTTCACAGTATTTCACATGCAAAGGGGAAAGGAAGAAGGGGAGAAGAAGCCCCATGCTGCTTTTAAGGCAGGGAAGGAGGCAAACTGGTCCACCATCCTCAGAATGTGAGTTCCAAGGCTCCAATGCTCGGGACATCTTCCTGTGCTCTCCCTTCAGGTGGCTCGCTCTGGATCCAGAAAAGCCTGTGCCTCAAACAGCAGAAACTTGTTCATCTTCTACAAATACAGCAGGGAAGAAAAAGAAATAAATGAGCAAGCAAGTAATTTCTTGTGCTATACAGAATATATTCACTGATGTGCTAAATAAAAATATCATATTCGGCCGGGCGCGGTGGCTCACGCTTGTAATCCCTGCACTTTGGGAGGCCGAGGTGGGCGGATCATGAGGTCAGGAGATCAAGACCATCTTGGCTAACACGGTGAAACCCTGTCTCTACTAAAATACAAAAAATTAGCCGGGCGCGGTGGCGGGCGCCTGTAGTCCCAGCTACTCGGGAGGCTGAGGCAGGAGAATGGCGCGAACCCGGGAGGCGGAACTTGCAGTGAGCCGAGATGGCGCCACTGCACTCCAGCCGGGGCGACAGAGTGAAGACTCCGCCTCAAAAAAAAAAAAAAAATCATATTCTTTTTAGTAGAGCTCACTTAGAATCCTTGTCTTTTCTCCTAAGCAATGATGAACAACAATAAAAAGGTTAAAATGTATGCAATACATATCTTTACATATATACACACACACAATATTAAAAAGATATGCATTATATATTTTTGTTCAGAAAGTTAATAAATTCATTTTAAAAAGCTGTAAAACAGCATGTGTCATTTTAAAAAAAAAATGTAAGATCAGATACACACAAAAAGTCTAGGATATGTAACCACATTTTAATAATGGCTGTCTGCAAGTGGCAGGATTTTAAGTAATTTTCATTTGTAATGTTTTTCTATTTATTTAATTTTTTTGAGACAGGGTGTGGGTTTGCCATCCACAGTGCAGTGTTCTTGGCTCACTGCAACCTCCGCCTCCCGGGCTCAAGTGATTCTCCCGCCTCAGCCTCCCAATCTCCCGGTCATGTGTTGCTTTTATCTATGATTGTGTAATCAAACATGTTAAACTGAAAACTTTAAAGAGGATGGGAGGACATAATCTCCTTCCTCATTCTCAATTCAGCATGGTCAGATAGGTTTGTAGAAAGAATGCACAAAGAGTTACAGACAATGTGGGTTCCTTCGTTCCCTCCCTTTCTCCCTCCTGTTCTCTCTCTCTTTTAGAGACAGGGTCTTGCTCTGCTACCTAGGCTACGGTGCAGTGGCACAATCATGGGTCACTGCAGTCCTGAACTCTGGGGCTCAAGTGATCCTTCCACTTCAGCCTCCACAGTAGCTAGGACTATGGGCACATGCCACCACACCTGGGTCATTTGAAAAATGTTTTTATGGAGACAGGTCTCACTTGTTGCCCAGGCTTGTCTCAAACTCCTGGCCTCAAGCAATCCTCCCACCTCAGCCTCCCAAAGCGCTGGGATTACAGGCATGAGCCACCGGGCTGGCTGATAGTGTATCTTTCTTTATCAGACTTTCATTTCCAAATGAGTCCCAATTCATTAAAAGTGCAAATACAAAGTTTCCACAGAAAACTTTAACCATCCACCTTTGAGAGTCCTAGATGCTTCTAAAATTCTTGACAACAGCATAAACTTGTGAGATTTTTATTTTCTTTTTCTTTTTTTGAGACAGAGTCTCCCTCTGTCGCCCAGGCTGGAGTGCAGTGACATGTTGTTGGCTCGCTGCAACCTCTGCCTCCCGGGCTCAAGTGATTCTCCTGCCTCAGCCTCCCGAGTAGCTGGGATTACAGGTGCCTGCCACCACACCTGGCTAATTTTGAGACGGAGTCTCGCGCTGTCGCCCAGGCTGGAGTGCAGTGGCGCAATCTCAGCTCACTGCAAGCTCCGCCTCCCGGGTTCCCGTCATTCTCCTGCCTCAGCCTCCCGAGTAGCTGGGACTACAGGCGCCCGCCACCTCGTCCGGCTAGATTTTTGTATTTTTTTTTAGTAGAGACGGGGTTTCACCGTGTTAGCCAGGATGGTCTCGATCTCCTGACCTCGTGATCCGCCCATCTCGGCCTCCCAAAGTGCTGGGATTACAGGCTTGAGCCACCGCGCCCGGCCTAATTTTTGTATTTTCAGTAGAAACAGGGTTTCACTATTTTGGCCAGGCTAGTCTCAAATTCCTGAGCTCAAGTGATCTGCCTGCCTCGGCCTCCCAAAGTGCTGGGATTATAGGTGTAAGCCATCGCACCTGCCTTATTCTTTTTCTCAAAATAGGGTCACGGAAGTACTTCAATTTTAGTGAGAATTAGAAAAGAAATCAAGTCATATAAACACTATATTTTAAGTGACTCCCTCCATAATCTTTGGCATTTTTGAAGCCATTTAGGGAAACACACACACAGACACACAGAAAGCCGTCAAATTTTAGTGAGAATTAGAAAAGAAATCCAGTTATATACACACTGTATTTTAAGTGACTCCCTCCATAATCTTTGGCATTTTTAAAGCCATTTAGGGAAACACACACACACACACACACACACACACACAGCAGTCAACAGCCGTAACCCTAAATTTGGAACTCTGAATATAGTGTTCTTTGTGTGGTGTATGGTTAGACATAGCTGACTGCAGTGTTAAGAAAACAGAAATGCCTTGGGAAGCAGCATAAGTGAACACATCTAACTTGGAGGTTTTAGGAATATTTATGTGTATATACCATCCTCCTCGGTGGAAAACCCTTGGGACTGATAGGGGGCGAGGCGCGGGTCGGACTCGTTCGGCTTATGCCACTGAGGTTTGTTCACAGGCCTGCTGCTGGTGGGATGCCCATGTGGCTGCTGTACAGATGAAGGCCCAGCTGTGTCGGAGGATCGCGCGACCATCCGCGATCTCTGAAGGGCCACGTTGTAGTCCGGAGGTTTCCTGGCTGGATGGGAGTGCCCTTCTGGAAAGTCAGTAATGGGAATTCCAATGTAGCCGGGAGGGGTGGGCGGGGGCTCTCGATACCTGCCCTCCTTTCGTGCTAGAGTAGAAACAACGCACCAGCATTAAAAAGTAGTTCATGCCACAAAAGTTTAATTAAAAATATGAAAATAATTATTGAAACAGCATCCACAGTGTAGCAGCAAATGTGAATTTGTGTGGTATGGGTCAGAGGTGCGGTGTGAGGCAGGCCAGGGAATGCATGTTAATTAAACCAAATTTCACAATGGTTATCACTGTGTGGTGAAACAGTTGGTGAGAAAAGCTGCTAGTCCATCTAAGCACTTTCATCTTTAAATGGGCTGCTTGTCTGTTTAACATAGTTTGTAACTATAAAATAGTAGCAAGATTAACACCTAACCCCTGGACTTATTGGAAAGACTGAAGCACAGGAAGAACCTAAGTACACAGCACTAAGCCTGGAACCTGTTTGTGCTTGGTACAAGTTTCCTTTTTCCTCTCTGCCTGCCGGATCTGCCCTTTTTCTGGGCATTTATCTTTACCAGGCAGAGAAGCAATTCCACATCCCTCTTGGGTCTTAGGACTTCACTTACGGAAACAGTGAATTAAAATAAATTTGGAAAAGTCACACAAAGGATACCAATTTAAAAACTCTAAAACTATTACTATAAGGTGTCAATTTTTCTTAAAATCCCTTTATTGATGCTCATGACCTAGAATATGAAACCTACTGTATAGGCAAGTAAAACTAAAGTTTTATTTTCTTGAACTTTTTAAACTCAACTGTTAGGAACTAAAAATCATTCTTCCTTCCTTTGCAATACAAATTCCGAGTATTAGTTGTAAGCACTTGAAAAAGTCCAACCTAAGAATATTTACTGTTTTCTCCTTGTTCATTGTAAAAGGATATTAAACTTGAAATCTATCCATGACTATTTACATGGCTAAATAACTACAATTTTCCTACTAATAAAAGTAATGTCTGTAATGATTATACTCCAGAATTTCTCACTCTACAACCAATAATCTGTTTCTACACTTCTTCTATATAGATGTTAATTGTGCCATAGAAAATACATCTCAACAGGGCTGAGGGAGCATGACAGCCTCTTCTAACAGAAACAGCAGCACCAATAGCTTTCATGCACTTAATGAATCTACTGTCTGGGCACTGTTCTAAATACTTTGCATAAATTTCCTTGAATCCTCACACTAACTCTATTAAGTAGAAATTATTAAGCTCGTTTTACAGATGAGGAAACAGGCACTGCTTTGTATTTTCCCCAATGTCACAAAACTAATAAAGTGGCAAAACAGGGATTCAATCCCCAGTCCGCCTGACTCCAAAGCCCGTGCTCTTAGTCACTGAACTATTAGCACCTCTCCCTCCTTCTGCAGTGTGCACAAATAATTGCTTATCAAGAATCGATGTGTGTGCAGAATAAAAATCAATGGAAGACTTTCAAATATACAAAGTTTAGAGTTCTAAACACAATCAAGGGAACAAAATAGAAGAATAAAAGATATAAAAGAGTTTCAATTAAAGAAAAATTTCTCCTCTATGAATAATAGGAATCCATCCTGATTTTTAGGTTAAGAGAAAAAAATTAGACTAGATCATATCCACAATGATAATCTACTGATCCTAATAGCTAAGATTTACTGAATGTTTTGTTATGTAGGAATATATCTGTATGTACCTGACCACAAAACCTGGGCTCTTAACCACTATTGATTTCAAAGACCTTAACACACCACCACTTTGGAAGTACAATGGAGAAAATGAGGAAAAGAACCAACAAACACATAATTTTACTATTGTAATAAGTTACATTAAAGACATGATCCAGACATGACAAAGTCCCCCAAGTTTAAAACTTACCAATGAGCCCCTTTGTAGTACTTGATGCCACAGCTATGTGGGCAGGCATGGGGACTGACTTGGTTTCTTCTGTGGTCACAGATGTTATGCTACTGCTTTCGGCTTCAATGGAAACGTCCTTTCCACCCCTCCGCTTTATTGTGCCTGTGTCACCTTCTGAGTCTTCTCCCCAGTAACCTGTGGAAGACGCCCAGCTTGCTCGGGACTGGGCTTGTTCAAGGCTCTCTCTACTTTGATTTTGCCGGTTATACTTTGTGCTATGATCAGAAAACATGATTTGGTCCATATGGCTGCTTGATGCCCATAAACCTGCAGGATCCCCTGAATAATCAAAGTGAGTGTGCCCAAATGGAAGAGTCTCCCAGCTTCTCTGGTGCTGGATTGTCTGTATATTATCATGGGAGCCACTTGAGCATGACGTCCAGCTCCCACGGCCACTGTCAGCAGCATCCAGTGACGCGCGATCCCCCTGATCCTGGGAAAGTTCCTCTGTGCTTGGAGAAGAAATCACTGTAGCTGTAGCATATAAGCCTCGACCCTCGGACATTGGTGCATAGGACCTGTGGTTAAAAGAAATGGAAAAGAAAAAAAAAAAAAAATCAAGATTGATAACTAATTCAACTATGATAAAACCAAAACACCCTTTTTCCTAGAAAGGTAGCTTGCTTTCATCCCAGAAACAGGATGAAAGTAGCACTGAATTGCCTTATAGTGGCCAGTTCTGCCACGTCTAGCCTTCTGAGTTTGTCATTACTATAAAACAGGCATGGGGGAAAAGAACGCAACGTGACATTAAAAAAAAAAAAAAAAAAAAAAATTTCCGACAACAATAAGGATGGCTCAATATAATTTGATTATTTCAGGATGGATCCTACAGTCACCCTCTGCCTTTAAAACAGAACAATTATGTTCCACTGAAGAAAAAACTTAACTAAAAAAGCAGTCTGCTTAACAAAAATAACATGATACTTAGTGTAGAAATTGTGAAAAATCAGAACTGGGATGGGAGAAAAATTCTTAGGCATTATGTAAAATAAATAAAAATAAACATCTGGGAGAAAAGACTCATTACCAAAAGAGAGATGGAAGGATAAATTCAAAAGAACACTAAGAAAAGCCACCTACCCCAAGCTATATTGATCAGGTTCCATCATGGTCCGCCTCTCCATCCTGCCCACCCCTAGGTTTGTTTCTACGATGCTGACAGAATGCCTCTGGCGCCTCTCATCGTGCAGTGAGACTGGCACTGAGTCAAAAGACGAATTGCTGACAATACTGGATCGTGAAGAAATTTCACTGTGACCAGAATCTGAAAAATTATCCACAGTACCACTGGGAGCCAAAGTATAGCCTGCATGAGAAACACGACCATATTAATTAGACTCTCTAGGTTCGTAACACCAAAGGGAAGTATACCAAATAGAAGCAAAAATAAAATGCAGGCATAGATATCTCTATAGAAGTGGGGAGAAAAACTCCGTTTCACTTGTAGATACCACATGACTAAGAGACAAATGTTTTATTCTAATGAAGCTTAAGTTGTTTAATTAAAGTTTAGAGAGGAAAAAAGAAAGTATCCTACAAGCTAGGAAAACATGCAGAAAAGGCACCACTCGACTATTCATAGCTCCCTTACCTATATCATTACACTATTAGTCTATAGAAAAGCAATCACGAGGAAAACGGATCAGATTTTAAAGTACGTTTTTTTCAAAATGCAAAGCCACTGATCTTGTTTTCAACAGTTTTCAATTTTTAGAACTTGTATGGCATAGAATAATTCAACTGGAAATATCTGTAACCTACTTACAATTTTAAGTAAACATATAAACAAAAATAAGAAATAAGACCTGAAGATGTCTTTGAATTTTTGCCATTTGGTTTTTCAATATTAATATTGGTTGAATCACATAAAAGCCAATTGTTTTGAAGGAGTTAATGGGCACTTTTCACAAGATCGTTACTACAGAATAGCTAAACAGATGTCCACTTCTTGGCCTGAAAGGACCCGTAACTCTCTTTTGTTACTAAAAATAATTTTGAAAGTCACAACGGAAGGGGCCTATCTTGATTTTTTTTTTTTTTTTAGACGGAGTCTCCCTCTGTTACCCAGGCTGGAGTGCAGTGGCGGATCTCGGCTCACTGAAAACTCCACCTCCTGGCTTCAAGCGATTCTCCTGCCTCAGCCTCCAGTGTAGCTGGGATTACAGGCAGGTGCCACCATGCCCGGCAAATTTTTTTTTTTTTTTTGTATTTTTACTAGAGACAGGGATTTCACCATGTGGGTCAAGCTAGTCTCGAACTCCTGGCCTCAGGTGATCAGCCTGTCTCGGCCTCCCAAAGTGCTGGGATTACAGGTGTGAGCCACTGTGCCCGGCCCTATCTTGATGTTTTTAATGAAAAAAATCCAAATCTTCTTTCTCAATATTCATTTTTTTTCTTGTCTACATTACTAGGGATCTCATGTTACTTAAGTATTTATTTTATATTATATGCAATGCAAATTTCTTCAATGCCACTTACCTAAGAAAAACTAAAATCTAGAGCATCTACATGTTGCCAGTTTAAGTATGTTCTTTCAGTATATTGGTAATTCCTGATTTATTTTTTAAAGGCTGCACAGGTCTTGATAAGATTTAATGTGTTCATTTATAAAACGTCTTTTTATAAAACCACACTGCAAGATCTGACAGATAAGATTTAAAGCCTTCCCTGAACAGTCTGCTAAAAAAAAAAATCTTCAGAAAAGTAAATCACTCAGATGGAGCACTTGACATTTGGAGGAATTCTCCCATTTTCATTAACTAATGAGATGATTCCTCTCTTTCCCACCCCGTTTTTGGTTCTATAAACCCCACCTATCCCATAGGTCCGTGGTGCATTGTTATTCTTGTTACTGTTCTCACTTCCAAGAGAAGAGGAGGAACTGGTTAAGTCCAACTGCCCGGAGCCAAAAGATCTCAGCTGATTGCCACTGCCACCTAACAACAGGATGAGAAAAGAATTGAGATGCATCCATGTAACAAGGACAGGAGAGACTGATACCCATACAAAATGCACAGATGTCTGAAATATCCACCAAGTAAAGCAATACCTGTTGTGTCAGTGAAATTTAACAATGTATTAAGCCCTTTTGGCCTTCCTTTAGGGAAAATTCAGTCCTAGCCATTTATTATTGGCTTACACTCATTCAGTTAAAAGGGTAGGAGGAGGAAGAAGCCTTAAGAGTTATGCAGCAGAAAATTACCTACTCTTTTAATATGAGAAGGTATCAACATAAGGAGGTGACTCTGAGTACCTAAAATATAATCTCTTTAAAAATAAAACAAGGTAGCAACCAAAAAGGTAATCAAGACCTGTGTTAATACAATGAAAAAATAAATCAGGAAGATATTAGTTTTTCATGTTTTTCAAAGCCCTCTTCTCTGTATTAATATCATAGAACCAAATTTAGTTAGAACAAATTTTAATATAAAAAATTCTTTGTATATTTATCATGAATAAAAAGTAAATGTATTTTTAAAAGGCTTCTTATAGTTATAAATTTAATACTATTTATTGTAAGTATAACATTTTTAAAAACCGCCATTCTTCCAAATTTATGAACTGAGGGAAAAAAAATCCATTGGGCAATTACATATGAGCTCATCTTAAATGACGATAACGTTAAGAATTACGTAATACATAACTCGGGAATTTCCCATAGCCAAAATGTACAGGTTTCAATACAAGAAAACAAGAAGTAATTTAATTCTACCTTTCCTTGGAGAACTCTGTGGAGAAGTAGGAGGAGAAGAAAGCTGCGAAGACGCATTTGATATTGTGTCTTCAGCTTGCTTCTTGTGACGTTCCAAACTTCCTTCTTCAGACAAAGAAAGAATTTTCTTTAAAGCTTGTGGAGAGTTTATGCCTATAATAGAAAAAAAAAAACCCTTACATATGTATTTTCAAGTCTGAAAATAAACATTTATGACTGAAAAACTCTTTTGTGCTAAGATTTAATATCATTACATTGAGGTTCAACCTATTTACAATGTAAATGTTCCTTGTATTCTTCATGGTCCACAGAGTAAGTGCCTACAGAAGGCATGACATACCTGTAGTTTGGTTTCAGGCTGATATCTGCCGAGTACCAGAAATAGTTTGCTTTTGATATTTTACATCAGATTCTAAACTTTGAAGTAGTCACCATCTTTATTCAACAATATATTAGTAAACAATGAAGAAAAAATGGACAATTTGGACACACTGAATTTAGGATGGAAGTGGCACAGCTAGATATGTTTATTATTAGAAACCAAATTTGAGTTGGAAGCTGTTTTGTATCCTTGGAAAGGGGTAGCTCAAGGGAAGTGAGAATAAAGGGAGAAGAGTACAGAGGCAAGAGCTAAGAGGAGCTAACCAGGAAAGTGAATGAAGGTGCTCTAAGGAATTCCATGCAGTTAATACTTGATCAAGTAAACAGATGAAAGAGAAGGGCGGAAGAGACCATGAACGTGCTGTGTCACAAAACCTTGGAAGGTGGTTTCAGAAGAAGGAAGTGAGCCAGCACCATGTGTAGGATCCAACAGGATAAGAGTGGAGGAAAAATTATTCTATATGTCAATGTAAGATGATTTCCCTCCTCAAAATTATTTTTCACAAATGAGGAAGTTACAGTAAAATATTTTTAATAGGCACTCTCAATTTTATTTCGAACAACAAAGAGATATTTGGGAAGGCACTACAGCCTGAAACCACCTCAGATTAGTGTTAGTAAAATTTAACAAAGATTTAATCCTTCATTTCACTTCATGTAAGCAGTCTGATGTTGTTTTAATACAATCTTTTTTTAAAAAAAACCTTTTAAAGCAATACTTTGATTACATGTAGAAATCATATACACAGGAAATAAAGCTAATTGAATGGGTAGTTTTGATGTGGAAAAAATTTCCAAGGCCAGCATCACACACAGATTCAAAAAGTACTATCTTTCAAACCATGTGGATGGATGTGAAGATGTTATGCCTGAGAAAGCTGTGTTAGATACTTCAAAAGTGGTCCCAGTGATGGACAAAGACACTAATGTTAAAGATGTAGAAAGTATATAGAATAAAACTCTTTCATGAACTGGAGTGGGGGAAACACCTGTAGCATCTCTAAATTAGTATTTTATATACTGTGACTTTAAATGTGTATGTTAAACTAAATAATATAAGACAACAAATGATATTTCATCCACATTTCTAAAGTTCGTAAATGGAACTAAAGACATTTTGAGAGCTATGGCTTCAGAAACATGGGGGATAGAGCTTTATACTCAGACACATCTACATTATATTAAATATGGCTAATAAGCTGTTTTTAGCTAAAGTGAAGACTGATATTCTTCCATATGAGTTCTGCATAAGGAGGATACAGAAGTCAGACTGCAGGGGATTCAGGAATGCATGCATATTAAAAACAATATATAAAGAAACACATAATTCAATGTGTTTGTGATGAGGGGATCAACACAAATATTTGAAAGGAGAAACGTATCAAGGAAAGGTGTTCTTTTCTTACTCTCCCCTCCAATATCAATAAAGAGGACATTTGCTGATCAGATGGACGAGGTGAGGACAGAGAACATGTGAGAGGTCTATGAAATAAATGACTGTCACCCCAGCCATACAGATGGGCTGTAACTGTGCAGGGACGTAGCTATCAACACCCAATTTTATCTAAGTAAACTCTTTCCCTTCTATCTATCTACTGATCGATCGATCGACAGAGTCTTGCTCTGTCGCCCAGGTTGGAGTGCAATGATGCAATCTCGGCTCACTACAATTTCCACCCCCCAGGTTCAAGTAATTCTTGTGCCTTAGCTTCCCAGGTAGCTAGGACTGCAGGCGTGCACCATCATGCCCAGCTACGTTTTGTATTTTTCGTAAAGACGGGGTTTTGCCATGTTGGGCAAGTTGCTCTCTAACTCCTGGCCTCAAGTGATCCACCTGCCTCAGCCTCCTGAAGTGCTGGGATTACAGGCGTGAGCTACCGCGCCCACCCTACTATCCCTTTATTTTTAATAATTTATTTTTTATCAATTATTTCATTCACATATACGTAGAAAAAAACAAGCTGTGCATTTTATGAAAAATTATTGTGTTGTACCACTTCCACAAAGGGGCTAAACTACTAGATGTTTTTCTTTTCGTAGGAAAGATGAAGTGTAATTTAGCTCCTCCATACTCAGGAGTTAGTTGCTTTATTTTTCCCCCTAAGCTATAGAATCAGTGAGTCAACAAATAAGAATTTACCTTCAGACAATTCATTTAACTTAAAAATATTCTGCTTAAATCCCAGCAGTTCGTTGGTTGTAAGGCAAAACCAGTTTAAATAATGTAAATGAACAAAGCATCTTCTGCACTCAGCAAAAATTAAATGGACACATAACTCTCTATTAACACCCTGTCGTAGCAAATTAGCGTGATTAAATCAGATATTACTTATAAAAACAACCCCTTCCATTGGCAAAGTCAGGTTTAACTTGCTCAATGTTCAGGTTTTATTAGGAGCTAATAATTAACAGAGAAACTCAAATATATTAGACAAAGTTATCCAAGACAAATATTCTTTTCCTAATTTGCAAACCATGAGAGTGAATGGCACCAAAAAAAGAAATGAATGTAATCACTTACCAAAAGGTGGGAGATCCTTTACGGGCACTTTCTTCCGTGAAGGATAAAGGGACACGGCGGGAACCTGCAGTCCCTGGTTGATTTTATGTGCTGGTGGTGGCTGCTGCTGGGGCTGTGGCAGGGACTGAGCTTTCTGCTGTGACCCTGCCCTTGGAGCTACCGGAGAGGTCTCGGATTTGACAGGCTTTTTGTCACCAGGATTCTTAGGCACTGATAATTGTTTGGGTTTGAAAATAGAACAAAGAATTTTAGATGCTAGTAGCTATGTAGAAGATAATTTTAGAACTGTGTGAGCATTTTCTGCAGTTAGAATACTAAAAGGCACACCTTTCGTCCTGCTGCCTTTATGAAGCACAGAAATGGATGGGGGACCCTAGTTACAGAAAATATTAGGTATGTGGCAGGACAAAGGTATCTACTTTATGAAGTCAGCAATCTCAAAAGATGATTATACTATTAAACACCCCATTAAAAATATAGAAAAATGTGGGTAGTTCAATATGTTATACCCATGTATATGAAAGACACAAATACATGATAAAAACTACAACAGACAAGTCATCAGGCACTATTTTTCTAAAATGGTATTCCAAATTGGTTGACAAGTATATGCACTAAGTTTTTATTTAATAAATGCTGCCAACTGCAATCTATTTACTACCACATTCCTAGGAGGTAGAATTATCTATGCAAGCAAACAGTAGCCAAAAATGCTTGAGTATTATACTGAGTATATATTTTGTGGTAGATAAATGGCAAAGCAATTTAGGACAATTAAATATTGTGCATGTAGTATCTTAATACGCAAAACTCAATGACATATGTATGCTTCCTCCCTTATACACACCTGGAAGCTAAGGATTAGGGAGGTCAAGTAACTTGCCTAAGGCTGCATTGCTAGTAAGAGGAGGCAAACAGGATTTGAACTCAGACCACTCTGACTCCAGAGGACAAGCTCTTCACCATGACACAGTGCTTCTACAGTGTCCTCGGTAAATCTAATAATCCAAATCTTCTCAAATCACCTATCTAAACTAAATCCTATAGCAGACATCTTCAAACCTGCACATAAAAGACACAGGAGTGTATTGAATGGAAAATGCCTTTGTCAAGATGCAGATTTAGAAAAAAAAAACTGCCCCATTTATAGACTAACCAGATTTTTAATGGCTATTGTAGTTCATTTTGGAGCAGAATTATTGCTCTACCTGGTAGGTGAATTTCTTGTTGGGTGTTGTCTGGGCTAGTGGTTAAAAGGCAGCCAGCACACTCAACTTTATGCCCCGACTCCCCTCAGGGTGCCCATAATTTGGGGGCACCTTTGTGAGAACACAAGACACGTAATTGGGAGTCATATCTACATATGCGCCCCTTGCATGTGTACTGGCTGTGTCCAGGTGAAACTAAAGCAACGGGTTGCCCTAGATGTGGACAGTGTCATCCTCCACACACTAACCCAGTTGACCTGAGGGCCTGGCCGCGCACAGTGCTATCCAGTATTCAATATTAGCATTCAAGGGAAGGACTAGTATATCTCATGATTGCCAGCTCCCCCTCTGCACTAAGCCTTATTTTGTCACTGCCCATATCACTGTATAGGAAACAAATCTGCATTCTAGCCAAAGTCGGCAGCCACTTTAAGGAAAAACTCACATGTGTTAGTTGCTGGCTCACACTGCAGAGATAATGTCTGAAGACTCTCCTCGTCCATTTCTAGCTCCAAATTGGAAAGGTACTGCTTCACTTTTCGAGCCATTTGGGCATCTTCATAAAGCTTTTTGGCATTGAGAAAGGAACTACGACGTACCCGCTTTTTATGACCACCTGTCTGAGCAACATCTAGCACTGTTGCGTTTGTACTACCCTGGCTGAGAGACCTGGAAGATGAAAAGGTAGATATGCAGCTCACTCTAGCATGGGAGTACTTTATCTATTTAAAACGTGCCAAGACTGATATTAATATTCTATGTTCAAAAGGTCACATGCTTCATTCCAGTGAGTAAACTGTTATACAGGAATATAGAATAATATAGATTTAAAAAATTTAGTTAAAAGAAAATTATACATAATATACATATAAAAATATATGTTTGGCACCTGTTCAGTTCGAACTAGGAAATTCTACTTTTCACCTCTATAGAGCATTTAAGGCAGTTCTCTCACAGATGCCAGAAAATAATAATTACATATAAAAGCTCATGCAAGAATACACAGCTATAATCATTAAGATTTGCAACATTAAGATTACTTCCCCTAAAGAGGATATTATACATATATTTAATTAAAATTAACTACAATGTTCACAATTGTCTTATTCCTTGAGTTGAATGTAGTGAGTTTTTAAAGTAATATGGTCAATCTGTTAATAAAACAATCATGCAAATGTAAACATGTATGTATGGAAACTATTGAGCACATGAATTGTTAAGAATTATTTTTAAAAAGGATTGGTTTATACAGAATGAAAATAGTAGTTAGTTGAGCTGTAAAAAATTTGGGTTTAACACCTGGGGGCACCTATTTTATATTAAAAATATTTATTTCTCACATATCTGTGAAATATTTTAATTGTACAATTTTTCCTTCTAATATCCTTCCTCCCCTCCCCCTACTTTGAGCTTTCCGCATTTCAAGACACACCAATTATATTAAAATAAAATCTTTCTAAGAGTTCAGAAAAACTGGCCTATAGTTCCCCAGAACAGTCATCAATCATTTCACAGCTCTCATGGATCATGACTTCAAAAGCAAAAGCCCCAACAGATTAAACTTGAAGTCAGTTTGCCGTCTGAAATTCTGCTACAGCAAGAGGGTTAAGGAAAAAAATGCAAAAATGCAAAGCATCAGAAAATACAGCAGGTAAGAAAACAATACAATGAGCAGAATAAGGACTGTGTGTGGGTATGCAAGGTCTCCACCACTTACCCCAAACTCCGCCATTTCTTCTTCCTGTAAGTGAGAGCCATGGAGATTGAAGCATGGGTGTAGAAAGAGAGACAGAAAGATCACAAGCTCAGAAAGAAAGGACTAGACTTCTGGATAAGCAGTTCTAGAAGCCCACAAACATTAAACTGCATAATCACCTCACACACGCAACTTTACTAGAAATATTTTTCTAGCTTAAAAGACAAATATATTTAAATTTTTTGTTCTAGAATTAAGACCGACTTTTCTCTCTTTCACTGAATTAATCACTTTTTACTACACTGCCAGCTAAATCTGTTGTGTGGATATTAAGACAAGACTATTTCGGGTATTTACATATTTTAGTTCATACTACTAGTTATGAGTTTTAGCTCTACAAGTCAGTGTTCTGAGAAATAAGAAATACATAATTGTGACTATTACACTGAAAATATCTGAAGGACAAACTGTTTTTACTGACAGCCAAAAGAACACTTTATAAGGAATAAGACATTTATTCCAAATCAGAGCTCACAGGTGATTCTCAGCACATCCTACTATAATTTCTGCCGTAGGACAAATGTATGTACTCAAACTTTTAAAAAATCATTTATTGGGAAGCTCTAAATTTAACCTTCTCTACTCTCACACGTGGCACTGAAGATGACATACTCACCGAGTCCTGAACATGAGGGCTGGGTCCATGTTCACTGAAGCCATTCGGCCAACATGACGAATTTCTTTTGCGATCATCCTTAACTTCTCAAAATTGACCAGCCCGTCTACTTTTGAGTCATTTCCTGAAATTGACAGAGAAGAAAAAGGAAATCACATGGCATTTATTCTGTGCTTCTCCAAGCAAAGATGGAAACCCTCTGCCTTATGTTTACCTTCATGAAGGAAGGTGAGGTCCTTCTTGATAACTGGAAACAGAGGGATTATGGGTGGTTGTAGGTTTTGACTATTGAGAACATTGCGATATTTCGCCATGTTTCTGGAAGGATCAAACAGGTCTTGGAGATCTTGAAATAGTTTTTCGTATTTATTGGGAAGTTTCTCCCAGGTTGTTCGCAGTCTTGCCACTGGTGCCAGGTTTAGGCCACTGAGAGGAGAAAAAGAAATGTGATATAACAACTAAAGTAAAATAGTGTACAGATTATTTATTGACACATAACACCTCCTTGTTTATGCTTTATATGCAAAACAATTTACAGAAGGCTGCATAAGAAACTGTTGATGATAATTCTGGGGAATGAGATGGCACAGGGAAGTAGGGTCAGGGTCAAGCCAAGGCGTTTTACTCTTCTCTTCCCTATAGACCCTCCTCATCTGTTTACTATCAGCAAAACCACCTGAATGTAAGTATTGATGCTTTGTATCCATACATAGCAGTATGTATACATACCAGTGCTTAGCCCATAGCGGCCTTTTGATAAAACCGACTGAGCAAATATCCTCTAGTAATAAAATAAGCTATGATAGTAATGAGAGTATGACTAAACTCCCAGACAGAGAAAATGACTCATTTAATAATCACCCTCAATAGCAACATAACTAATTGTTGCCATTTTTTTTTCTTCTAACCTCAATCTAAGCTCTTAAAAAAAGGGAAGAAAATTAACATTTCCTGGCCAACTGCTTTGTGCTATTTGATGGAACTCCGCATACATGATATCATTAATCTTGTTGATAACTCTTTGGGGTATTGTTATTTCCACAGAAAAATAAACTGATGTTGAGAAAAGTTGAAACAAACTTAAAAAAAAAAAAAGTGGGGGATATAGATTTTCGGAGCTCCAAATCAGAACTTCAGATGCTACCAAAATGTTTCCTGCCTAATGGCTTCTTCGAATCTCTTCAGGTTGGCACAGCTGGTTTTGTTGGTACGAGAGATTTTAAATTAAGGTTAGGATTCAGAGAAAAAGAATTGTCCCTTATGAGTCAATTAAAATCTACTGCATTTATACTAATTATACGATGTTCCTGGACTGATACATATTTTAAATCTGTGAACTGAACTGAATCTTAAGAAAAATGTGTTCTCTTACCTAATGATTGCAAACATTGAGTTAAAATTCTTGCATTCCCTACAGTGCAGTGCTATCTTGATGAAATGCTTAATGATCTTCATCCTCTTCAGCTGGTTTGTTTCTCTGAGAATTTCAGACGCTACCCAAAATGTTTCCTGGTTAATGACTTCTTCAAATCTCTTCAGGTTGGCACAGCTGGTTTTTGATCTGAGTTTAAATAAATCATCTATATATTCAGTAGGTTCAATGTTGCGAAAGAGTTCAAAATTTCGCATGGAGAGCTGTGTGGCAACTTCCACAGTACTGAGCTGAAGGAGGGAAATTTGACTCTCTCTCAACAACTCCTGAGCATCTTCATCAGAACAAAGAGTTTCTGTTTCCATGTTGTTTTTCAGATAATACCTGTGAAAAACAGAAACATACCAGAGTCAAAGCCTATGCAGCAATCTCATGATATTCCTTGAAAGAATAATGCTACTTTTTATGGAAAGTTTGAGAGAACACCGATTTGAATGATGGAAGATTTCTTTTCAACCAAGACAGAGAGCGCAGCTGCTGTCTCAGGTACCAGGTCACAGAACTGCCTATCCAGAAGTAGGTGGTAGAAACAAACAAATCACATGGAATTTCACTTTTACTAGCTGGACTTTCTTTCTCTCCTTTCTTTTCCTGCTTTTGGAAGTATTTTACCCTCTTTGCTAAAAATAACAGAAAATAGCCACATTTTTAGTTTAAAAAGGAACTAGATCCTAAGGCAGGAAGCAGGAAAGATCAGACACAAGTAGATCATCATTCTTATTTTCCCAATAATCTGTGATTATTGATGGGCCCAAATTGTAACAATCCAGGTTTACTTATTGATTCAAATACCTAAGAAACCCTAAGCTACTTCCCTCTATTTGATCCTATGAACAGAACAATCCTACAATAGGTTAACTTTAAAAAATCTGGATTTTCATAAAAACTCTGTAGGTAAGTGGATGGCAGGTATTATACTTATTTGTCAGAATAGGAAACAGGCTCCTAAAGATTGACTAGTTAATGCCAGTGCAAAAATGAGAACACAGGGCTGGAGCTCCTTCTCCTTTTAGGTAATTTGTTGAAAATAGCATTAAGATGTTTGTCGTGTGTGTGTCTGTGTGTGTGTGTGTGTGTGTGTGTGTCTGTGGTATGGTGGTGGTGGTATTTTTTTGTTTTGTTTTTCTTTTTTAGACATATGCTTTCTCTGTGAAATTCCATAAACGAAAAAACAGAATGAGCACAGTAGGGGCCCCGCTAAAATGTTTTTTTGTATATTTCACCAAGACAAACACATATGACAGAAAATATATACTTTGCACCCTTGATTTTCACAGATTTAACATTCTCCATTTTGATTACTCATGAAGCCCATGACATTCCCATCTATAATTTTCTTCAATAATGAATGTGAATCATGAATTTATAGCTCAGTGGAGCTCTGTAAAACTCTATCGTGGTTCCAGATATATCAATGTGCATTGAAATGATAACTGGAAAAAACAGAGCGACTAAAACAAAACTACTTGCTAGTGTTTGAAAACAAAAGTGAAGAGGCATAAGAAAGTTACAGTTGATGGCAAGAAAATCAAAGTTTTGAATGAATTATATACTGGTTTAAACCTATAACATGGAAAAGTCAGATACAGTGAAACACTTCGTAAGTTAAAAATAGAAGGAATATGATTTATGGAACTGCTTAATTTTCAGTGTAGAAACCAGCCATTATGAGAACCAAAACAACTATTTTCTTTTTCAACTTGCACTTATTGTGACTTGAAGATAAAGCTACATACACCTAACAATGAAAATATCATTGAAGAGAACAGTAAAATCAGATACGACATTTTCTTGCAGTAACATGTGTGATATAAGCACTTCTGCAGCAAAGGACTAGGCTCTGTAGCAAGTAAAATTTGGTTTCAGAGTTGAGAAGTGTATTTCACAGCACAATGTACAATAACAGGCAGTAGTGGCCAACCACACTGTCATAGATGTCTCTGCCTAAACTAAGGAAGCTCTTAGAAAAGTTGGGTGTGCAGGAGCAAATAACACTAGAATATGATTAGAAAATGTGCCCGTGAATGTACCTATCCGAAGGGAAGACAGCACCCGCGTTTAAATCTGTGACTTTATGTCAAGCATACTCTCGCCTTCCAAACCAGGACCCTAAGGCAAGCATGAGAAGTTACAGCACGCATTGTGGCAGTCAGTAACAATCTTCAGGTCACAGTGCCCTTGAACAAGTTCCTAAGAGATCCTTGTTAGGGTCAGTAGTCGACTGTGTGCATTTGCTTTCATACAGTAATGCTTGGTGAAAGGGAAAGAAAACAAAACAACTACTTTTTAATCTGCAGGGGCACTTACTCATTTAAAAAACACTTTGAAAACTGTTCATCTCTTAGACTTTGATGTGGGTTTGAAGAGGGGATAAAGAAATCCAGTAAGGTAGACAATATATACCTTCCACTCAATTGTATTCTGTCAGCAAGTTTGGAAAGCTGATCTGGAAGCCTTCTTTGTTTGATTACTCCCTCAGGTGTGACAGAGACCTCACATAGTGAATATTGATCCGGGGTGGCAGTAACAGCAAACTCCCTGATAGCCTGAATAACCACTTCCTTTGCCGTAGTGTCCTTACTGATCATGATGTAGCGGCTTTGCTGATCAGCCTTAAAAACCCTTAGCACTTGATCTGGCAAGTCTGAGGAAAGAAAAGTCACACATAAGTAGAAAGAATTTTAATATATGGCAATGCAATTAAGCAAAGTAATCGGAAAAAAGCTCCCTAGAAAAAGCAATGCTGAACTTTTACCTCTCCCTTACTCTAGGTCTTCCTCAAAGAATCAGTCAAACTACCTGCTGTTCTGCTGCATGAACACACCTTTCCCTAAAGGTAACAGATTGATCTACAGACAGCAGCAAGCACATCAGTAGACAACAGCAGCACACAAGACTGTCATGCTGGCATCAAAGAAATAAAATTTAAATCCAGAGTTAATCTTTATTGTATTGAAAAGTCCATTAAATAGACCTAAAATATGCCTCTTACTCTATTTATTTGATATGATTTAGTAATCATGGCATGGGATGCGTTATCTTCATTTTATGAAAGAAGAAACAAGTTCAGAGAGAGAATCTGCCTATGGCCATATAAAAATATTGTGCTGAATATAAAGAGAACGGGTTCCAACACCTGGTTTCAAGAATCTTGAAGTTTAAGGTTCATCCTTACTCAGCATCTGATATAATCCATGACAAATGAAGAGAGAGAGATATAACATGACCATTAGGTTAGAAATAAAAAGATAACTACAAGAAAACAAAAGAAGTGTTGGTGATACTCACCAGGAGTAGTACTGAAGTCTAAAATGCGATGATGTGACTGCAATAAATCAGGATTACTGGATGATAAGGTTCCACTGACAGGCAATGCAGTTGGGATGTGCTTTGTCTGCCTTAATCCTACTATGCTGTCATCTTGAGACTGACCAATCCCAATATCACTGAACAAAGAGGAAAATTAGAAAATTATCAGCAAGTTAAAAAGTTGTAAGTCATCACTATACAATAGACACACACCAAAAACCGTATTCCATTTTTTTTGCAGCTAATGTAAAAACATCATTAATGAATGTGGTTGAAAATTGCAAAAGCAACTACTGCTTAAGTGTATCTGACTCATTTTGTGCTTTTGTTTTGTTTTTGTTTTTTTTTTTTTTTTAGACACAGCGTCTTGCTTTGTTGCTCAGGCTGGTCTTGAAACTCTTGGCCTCAAGTAGTGATCCTCCCACTGAGGCCTCCCAAAGTGCTAGGATTACAGGCGTGAGTAACAGCACCCAGCCTCATTTTGCTGTTTCTTGTGTATAGTATGTTTCTCTAAAACCTATGGTTTTTCTAAGTAGATAAGTCACAACAAAAATTAGTAGTTACTCAGCATAGAAATACATTAAAAAAAATAAGCTCTAGCTTCTGATGGAAATGTATTTAAGAAAAAGTACATTAAAAAGAATACATTTATCTCACTCAACTGATAGTTCTGCATCAGAATGATAAATTATTTTATAATCTGACCTTCAATAGTTGAAGAAATTGAGTAAAATGAAAAGAGGAGGAAAAAAATTCAAAGTGTCCTAATTTTATTTTCCAGTGCTTTAGAGAAAAAATGAGATCATTATGGAGTCCAATGTAAGGAGACTCTGACACAGACATTATTTCTTGATTATACAGAGCATAAAAAAACAGTGGTGCATGGTGACATTTCCTAGCATCAAAGAAAAGGCAACAGAAATCCAATGACTCACTTTTAATTCTCCGATCAAAATTTCTAGCTACCCATTTAAGTATCCAGAGAAATACTGGTTATTATCGACAGCAACAAACTCATTTCCATTTATAAAAAGCCTGTTACTGTGAACTCTTGAAACATGATTTAACAGTATGTAAAAACTATTTCTAGAATGAAGGGTCAACTGTTTCCAAAACAAAACATCACATAAAGCAATAAGCAAACACACACAGAAATAACTGGGGTCACAAGAAAATGGTTATAGCTCAGACTAGTTTCTATAAACACCTTGAAATAAGAGGAAAATTATATTAAGGCTGGAATATAAACTAAGGTGTCATGAATAAAATGAATAAATTTAGCATTTATTAGCTGTTCCCACATTAGGGCTTGATCATAATAACTACTATTTTTAATGGCTATGCTAAAAAACAGCAGCATTTCTCCTCTTTACTTTTTTTTTTTGAAAATGGAAATTATAGAGGTAAATAAGGGCAGAAACATTTTTAAAGACAAAAATTAAATTAAAATTAGAGACAATTTCACTTTATACGAAAAAGACACCTGCACACGTTTTGTTTAGAGCAGCATAATTCACAATTGCAAAACTGTGGAAGCAACCTAAGTGCTCATTAACTAACGAGTGGATAAAGAAAACACATTTACAGCTACACCATGGAATATTACTCAGCCATAAAAAGGAACAAAATCATGTCTTTTGCAGCAACCTGGATGCAGCTGTTGGTCATTATTCTAAGTGAAATAATGGTGAAAAACCAAAATCCCTATGTTCTCAGTTAGAAGCTATGAGTAGGCAAAGGCATACTGAGTGATATAATGGACTTTGGAGACTCAGAAGGGGAAGGGTGAGGTGGGGGCCAGGGATTAAACAAAGCTACACATCAGGTGCAATGTATACTACTTGGGTGATGGGTGCACTAAAATCTCAGAATTCACCACCACTATATAATTCATCCATGTAACAAAAAGTCACGTGTACCCCAAATGCTATTGAAATAAAAATGTAAAAAATTAAAGACAACTTCAGTGTGAATTATTTCAAATTCATAGGTCAGTCTGGGACAAAATTAAATTTCTATTGAAGCATAAAACAGGCATAAAGACTAAAAGTAATAACATTCTGTAAAAGATGAAAACTTTCACGTTAGTGGAATTTTATTTTTCAACCATATAAAGCAGTCACTGCCAAAAACCTGCTATGTAATACTTGACACAAGATCATTATTATGGGCTCAGGACAAAGCATAGCTGACTGGGCCACTCTGGCACAAAAGGCTACAAATATTAGCATCTTGCAGGCACACCCAACATTTAAGAACCGTTTCTCCGTAACACTTTAACACCTTATGTGATGAACTCCCTTTCTACTCTCAGTTTCTTCATTACTCACCTACATCTCTGTCATCCATAGACATGCGGACGCTCTTGGATTGAAACTATTTTATATCCAAGACCTAATTCAGAAATATCCCTTTCTGGGAACATCCTCTTATGATTCTACCTCTCCAACACTTGCCTTGTTACTGAAATTGTCTTTCGATCTTTGCTGGTTTTATAGTGTACTGACTTACTCCTTCTTGTCTCTGGGTTCATTAGTCTTTTTCCACTTACTTGGCAACCAAATCTGAATTCTGGGAGCTCAAGCCCCACTTTCTCCTTCCTCTCTATGCACATCGCTCGATTGTGCCTACCTTGCCAATTTGCCATTATCTAGCATCTTAGCTTCTCTAAGGCTGATAATGTTTGAGGAAAAAACTCAACAGTATACTCTATCTATACTTCTCTAATTACTAGCTTAGTAGCTTTGTCAAAAAAAAAAAAATCCTCATAAACAAATGATAATTTCTAGAAAAGTGTTAATAGCTAGTATAGTATAAATCAAGTCTATTACCAATATAATAGATCCTACAGCTTAGTGAAACTTCCTTTATTTTTTCTTTTCAATTGCATTACACATAGGATTTCAAATAATTTCCATGATAAATCTTTAAATGAGTCATATTATTTTCCTAAATACAAATTATTTAAGATGTTTCCTCAGTGTTTTAAAATCAACACATCTAATTATTCTTGTTCTTTTCCCTTGTCTAGCTTTAGAGTATTTCTAAATACACATAGAACAAAATTATACATAGTATTCTCAAATTGTGTTCCTTTCCAACATCCAGTATTTTTGATGGATTACATCCCAGTTCTTACATGTCACATTTCTATTTATACTTGCCAGGGTCATACCAACTTTTTTTTAAAGGTTCTTATTTAACTCATGGTCAAATATGACTCTAAGATCTTTCTTTGTTATTGTGCTGTTAATAATTCTGCATTTAGGACTGGGTGTGGTGGCTCATGCCTATAATCCCAGCACTTTGAGAAGCCCAGGTGGGTGGATCATTTGAGGACAGGAGCTCGAGACCAGCCTGGCCAAATAGCAAAACCTTGTCTCTACTAAAAATAAAAAAAAATTAGCTGAGCATGGTGGTGCACACCTGTAATCCCAGCTACTCAGGAGGCTAAAGAATGAGAATTGCTTGAGCTCAGGAGGTAGAGGTTACAGTGAGCAGATCCCAGCAATTGTACTCCAACCTGGTTGACAGAGCGAGGCTCTGTCTTGAAATAATAAATTAATTTTAAAAATCTGCATTTAGGTAATTTATTCTTTTCATCCATTTAAAAAAAAGCTTTTCATCAAGGAGGGTTATTTTAAAAATTGGTTCTTATTTTCTGTAAATGTCAGGTGCCCTAATCCATTGTCTCTTCGAAACTTACTCAATATAAATATCCTATTGAGTCTATAACTACTACTCACTGCTTATCCTTAGGACTCTGCTATAGAAGACTTCTTCAGCTGATACAAAACCACCAATCATTACTCTATAGTTTAATCGGGACAACTCAATCAATCAATAATATATTTTAAATCATATTTCTCTAATCTGTAGATGAAAATTTTATCTGAAATGAAGTTTTTTTTTTAAAAGATCTGAAATGGAATTTTTTTAAAAAAGAAAAAGAAGTGTTTGATATAGTCCTGTATATCTACTGCATGTCTTTAGACCCATTAATTTATCAAATAAAGAAATTATACGTTTTAAAGTTATTATCTCTTCTAACATTGTAGTTTGGGGACTATAAAACTAAATGTGGCACAGTGAGAAATGGCTGACAGTAATCGAGTTTTATAAAACATCCCTAGACTCAAGAAGGAACTAAAATGAAGAAATAAGCAAGCAAACAAGCAAAGCTTAAAAAGCAACAGAAATACCTGCAATTTTGTCTAGCCTGGCTGAGCTCCCGGCATAAATAAATAACCAAGAAGAAATTCAAGAATACACCTGACATTCTGACCACTAAGGTGACTGGGAAGAATGAAAGGAGTTCTGTGCTTGGTTGTTGATGCCCTGACAGTAATTAAATAACTGAAAATAGAAGAGAGAGGGGAATATAGAGAATAATAGGGATGAATAGTGGCAACTGGATAAAGCAATGATTTGATTGGTAACGAGCAGATGTTGTTGGTAAAGAAGATACCCAGAAACAAAATACAGTAGAGAAAGCAACTCTAAATTATCACGGAGGAGACAGGAGGCAAACACATCCTTACTTTTAAAAAGTCCAAACCTGCGACCGGGCGCAGTGGCTCACACCTGTAATCCCAGCGCTTTGGGAGGCCAAGGCGGGTGGATTACGAGGTCAGGAGTTCAAGACCAGCCTGGCCAAGATGGTGAAACCCAGTCTCTACTAAAAATACAAAAATTAGCTGGGTGTGGTGGCAGGCGCCTGTAATCCCAGCTACTCGGGAGACTGAAGCAGAAGAATCACTTGAACCCGGGTGGCAGAGGTTGCAGTGAGCCGAGATCGCACCACTGCACTCCAGTCTGGGCAATAAGAGGGATACTCTGTCTCAAAATAAAAAAACAAAAAACAAAAGAAAAAACCTCCAAACCCCCCAAAAATAGTTCAAATGAGGAAATGCTAAACTATCTTTAAAGAAGACTGGGAGTGGCCAAATAAGTGGCAAAAACGAGATTAAAACAAATTTGATTGTTTAATTACTTCTTCCAAAATAGCTCAGTAATAAAAACCTAGAACATTTTCAGACTCATGCAAACATTAATTACATCACTACCTTTGCATATCATTTTAACAAAACAAAATAATGCACAGAAAATGTAGGCAGATGCTTACTTGTATGGTTTCTGTGGCAAGATACTGATTCGAGTCTTGTCGAGTATCTTTTTCAGCTTGTTCCTTCCTCCAACAGTGTTGGCTTTACTTTTTTTGTTCACTTTTTCAAGTCCTATCACCTGTTCTACATCTACAGCAAGATCTGGAATGGAGTAGCGACTGGCCTTTTTGATGTCACCAATTTTAGGAAGGTGGGGGGCACCATTTCTTTTCTCTTCTGACAGTCTTGTTAGAAGTTCTTTAAATACTGAAATAAATGAAAACAGAAACACCACATAATGGCAATTAGAAGATATCAGAACAATTCTAAGGCAATTGTGGAACTTGGAAATACATGAGAAGTACAGACTTCAGTTATCAAAACTGCAAACCTGCAGAAAAACAAAACCACACAGTAAATGAATGACGCCAAATCTGCTTGGTATGTTGCTCTATCAAAATAAGTTTAAAAAGAGTAGTACAGTACACTCTTTATGGGTATTTTCGTATTTATCAATAAAATATTTCAGTTATCAATAAAGACATAGATTCAAAATATATATTATGGTCAAGTCAGTAGCTTTTTATTTAGATCGAATCTATGCTTTTACCATACATGCTTTCTTATGATGTCTGAAATACTGAGGGAAAAAAAGGCCAAAAGGAGAAAAACGAAAAGTATGCCAAATACTTACCAAATAAATTGGTTTTCACAGTGATAGATAAATGTGTGTTATTTCTAAGAATTTCCATGGCTTTTGACAGCTGAATGTTTTCAAAGTTTTGGCCATTTACTTCTAATATCTAAAAATAAAATTATAAAATTAATGTATCAAAACTGACTGGAAAAAAAAAAAACCAAAAAAAACAACAACATAGACACCAAAATTCACCTTTAAATCTGAGTTTAGAAATAGCATACCTGATCCCCCCGTTTCAAGCCTGCTTCAGTTGCTTTGCTACCTGAATCTACACTGTCAACAAAGATTCCAAATCCCTTTTCGGAGCCTCCAAGTAAGATAAAAGGCAAAGGAGCTTCTCGGGATGGTTTTGTTAACGTCATCAATCTTCTTTTTGCTTTAGCAGCACATGCGATATTCAACAGCCTTAGGTGTCCACCCATTTTCTGTAAGAGTTCAGAAACAGTAGTGTCAACTCAAAAACAGGCTGAATAAAATGAACTTTAAGCTGATCTTAAAAAAACCCACAAATATTACCTCTCTTTCCAGATTGTTTTCAAATTCTTCTAAAAATCGAGTCATTGCAGGATCTCCTTCAAAGTCATTGAAGTGATTATTTACCCACAATAATACTACCCGTGTAACCTGAAAAGTCAATTATTTTCCGTAAGTGTCCTTTTTAGTGCCAAAAATGTGATTAAAGTCATTCCAGAAAAGATATCCAACTTTCAAACACTTTACCTAATAATAATAAACAGGAAAATAAATTAACAATAAAGTCTTCAATGAGGATGACCTTCTGAAAATCAATTATTTTTACTTTGACTATAGACTTCATGTTGCTTTGCCAGGAAAGGTTCTGAGTCTGTGAGGGTATTTAACCTAAAACTTGTCTAACTTTCAAAATGCATTTGATACAGATCAAAATAAAAGCAAAGGTGTAATAAAACAAAAATCAGCTAACACAAAAGACAGAAACTAGAAAGTAAAGGTAGAAGAACAGACTAGACAAAGAGAATCAATGCTATTAAGCCTAGAAAGCTCGGTAAGGGTGCAGAATATAAAAGGAAGGAGATAAGGTAACATAGTTTATCATCCAATCTGGCCTTAGTGCTCTCAAGAGCTCTAGATGGTCTCCTTAGAATTATAATCCTGGGGCCTACAGTGAGTGATGACTGCCATAAAATGCTGCTTTGGTGCCAATTTAAAAATTGTAACTTTTATCTGGTGTACACTGACTACCAAACTAGAAAATGCAGATTCCTATGGAATCCAGATGTTTGATTATGTTTTAACACACTCCCAACAGAACTTAAAAAATGTTTAAACATTTGGTGGCCAATTTATTGGCCCTTGTATTTAAAGAAGACTGAACTAATATTTTGTTCATATTTCTAAGTCTGAACTAATATTTTTAAATCACCTTTTTGTTTTTTTTTTTTTTGCTTAAGAAGTACATTCTCCTATTTCATTTCATTAATCTGGACATAATTGCTGTGACAAATATTTACATGTTTACATTTTAACGTTTCATATTTAAGAATCAAAATAGAATATATTTCCAACCTTATCCCTGAGGCTCGGGTCATTAAACCACTCCAATAACTTTTTGCCCACTTCCATTGGGCTAGAAAGAAAAGTCCTATAGGTCAACAGAAAGTCTTCTATGAATGTTGGATCTACTACTGAATGCTCTTCTACCAAATGCATTGTTAACCTTTCTGAGGTACCCTGTAACAAAAAAAAGGGTTTAATTACTATATATATATATGTAACATTTATATGGTACTGGGATTTCAAACATTCAACATAAAATTAATTGGGTAGTAACACAGTTAACAATAAATGAAACTGCTATTCATCAGGAGATCATACCTAAAGATTTTCCACAACTGATAACCTTTAAGACATAGGCTTAAAAATGAAAAAAATCCTAAACTGCCACAACCAATACTACCAAAAAAATTCCTTTCCTTGGGAAGTAGGCGTGGTCCTGCGTCCTACCTTGATGACAATGTGTCCCTTTCTTGTTCCAGTTCGATCAAGTTCTCGGTGTTCTTTCACCATAACAATCTCTCCTTCCTCTTCAACTTTTTGCATGTTCTTTTCTACTTGGTTGAGAATACGGCAGTAATCTTGCTGGGCTATGCAGACAAACTGGAATAAAACATAAGTCACATGTTAATGATAAAGTGCTTGTAAAAGACTTAGCAGTACTAATAATTCAGTGTTTTAATTATTTAAAACTGACATTTTTCCCTGTCTTTCCCATACTTTCTAAATTAATGCTGTAATGAACCTTAATCAGACTTCTCTACTTTTAATGTATTTCTTCCTCGGTCAAGAAAAGTTTCATTTCTAGAGTATTTATATGTATTTTACATTCAAAATCCTAACAATTTTAAAAACCTAAAGACAAAATTAGAAGATAGCTTTTTCATGCTTCTTTCACAGTTAAAAAACATTGCAGTGGGGGGAGCAGAACTGTAGGAGAGTAAAATTTAATTATCATTTAGTGAATTAAAAGAATTTGAAAAAGCAACAATTTTTGAATAAGAATGATTTTAATAAAAGATACAGACACTCAAAGATACCTATGGAGTAGACATATTTGCTAATAACATTGATGAAACACCATTTTAGAAAGCTTGTTCAAAGAATGTCAAAACACAAACCACATTATGTGTTATAGCTCAAACCATTATCCTTATAACTGGTATTAAGGGTAATCCTTGCTCTTAAAGAAAAAGTTAAAAATCTGCATATTAAGTCATTACTCTCCCTGACCCCAAATATAAAAAATTTCAGAGCTTAGGGCAAACCACTTAAGAAATTACATTTCTTACAAGTTTTAAAGAAAGTTAAGAATGAATGATAAAAATCACTTATTATAGAAATTAACTAGAGGTTAGTGAGGAGACAAGAGATCATTTGGAAATGGAAAGAAGTATAGTATTTCTTTTTCTCCTTTAATGTGAAGAAGATGAAAAAGGAGGTGGTTAAATTATATTGTAAATAAGATAAAATATGATACAACCACCTGAAATCATGATTTCATAGGGCACTTAGAGCTCTGATAATACATTATTCTTTTTATATTGCTCATATGAATTTTTTAAAAAGATACTATACTAAGTATTATGATAATCATAATGACAACATCTTCATCATCACTGCCATCACCATCACACTGTGGCAGCCTTATGGAACTTTTTCAATTCATCCTCCTAATCAAACCATGAGGAAGGTGCTATTATCCTCATTGTACAGATGAGTAAACAGCCCGATGTCTCATAACTACATGCTGGCCACTTTAAAATAAATTACACATGCACATCAAAATCTTGGAGAGAAATAAACTGTTAATATTATTTCTGAGCAATGCAAATTATGAGTGACTTTCATTTTAATATTTTTCTATATTTTTCATGCTTTCTGCATAACCAATAGATTTTAAGTAGAAGCAGCAGTTCATAAGAGGAACAGCATATTGCAGTATCATGTTTCTCCCAGAGTTGGCTAATCTCACTAGTTTTTCTATTAAGCATTTTGAAGCAAAAAGTTAAAAATCAAAAGATATAGGCTTTTTTTGTACTAGTAATTATGTATACTTTAATTATATTAAAAATACTTTTAGAGCTCTGATACTACATTTTTAAAAATATTGCTCATAGTATCACACTAATTTTATAAATAAACTGTTAACATTATTTCTGAGCAATTTCCTTAACACTGACCACAGGTGTATAATGTTTCAAAGTATATGATCCTTAGTTTCTTACCTAAAAATTATTTTATTTCTTTGTACACAGCAGCAAAATTATTCCCAAATACATAGAAGAGATTTAGAATGGTTTTATTTCCAAATAATTCTAGGTGTTCTTTCTTGTGCTCAGTTTTACAGACATAATTAAATACTCATTTTCTCATTTATCTTCTAAAAAAGAAATACATCCCTGAATTCAACTGAATAAGTAGATATAAGGAAAAAATGCTTTTTGAAGAGAAATGTACTAAAATTAATCTTGACTACAGACTTTTTTTTTAATTAGAATACATTTGATTTGAAATTCTTAGTGTCTAGACAGACATTTTGGCATTTATTCTGTAGCAAGCTGAAATACCATCCAGAAAGGAAAAAAAAAGAAAAAAAATCCCAAACTGAATTTCTAATACGGTCATATAGAACTGGCACCTAAAAAGAAATACATTTTACATGAAAATATTTATCTTTTTTAAAGAAGCTACTTATTTTTGCTATAACAAATTTATAGATCTAACATGAAATTCACAGGTAACATTTAATTTTAACTAATACGATGAAGTCAGTTGAAAATCTTTGAAAAAAAAATTTTTTTTTTTTGAGAGAATCTCACTCTAGTGCCCAGGCTGGAGTGCAGTGGTGTGATCTCGGCTCACTGCAACCTCCAGCTCCTGGGTTCAAGTGCCTCAGCCTCCCAAGTAGCTGGGATTACAGGCATGGACAACCATGCACAGCTAATTTTTTGTATTTTTAGTAGAGATGGGATTTCACCAGGCTAGTCTCAAACTCCTGACCTCACGATCCGGCTGCCTCGGCCTCCCAAAATGCTGGGATTACAGGCATGAGCCACCGCACCTGTTCAGAAAATCTCTGAATTGCTTTACTGAGGTTTTAGGTTTCTGTAAATCTCATGGGTTTCAGATTGCTATAAGCCCATGAAAGTACTATATGATCTCAGTACCCTGGTATGAAATAAAAATTCAAATAAGAATTCACTTAAAGTCAATGGCAGTTTATATCATAGGATTATTTTCCTTTGGGCATGACATTATAATTTGTATTTAAGTAAAACATTACAGATGATGAATGAAATAAAATTAAACTTCAATCCACATATGGTGTAATCAATTTTCAATTTATCCACAGCAAACTGTTTTCTCATCCAAAACTGCTTCTTACACTCTAAGTGGTATTAGTGCCTATGATTCCAGGAAGAGGTGAATCTAACATAGATTTGCTTTAAGAGGTTAGATCTATTTAAACTGGCACTTTGCAGTCTGTGAGGGAAATTCATACCGAATTGTTCACACAGGTATCCAAGTGTTCATTCTCCATTTGAAGGGTGGAGGGCAGGGCTAAGCAATGCCTGGGTGTCACCGGCAGGCCTAAGATACAGGCAGTGGAGAAGAATAAAGGGACTAAGAGGGTAAAAGAGGAAATGAAGAAAGGGAAACAGAAGAAGTGAAAAAGAAAAGAAAGAGGTATATGTGGGTAATGGAAAACCATTACCAATTGCCTGGTACCATAGGGTGTGTGTATCAAGCTCTGAATTTTGTCCTTTCATACCACACAGGGAGTAAGAATAGACACTGAAGAGGGAGAACTGGAAGAGAATACAAAGAAGGGACCCAGAACAAAACAAGAGCTTGACCATGTCATGGGATCCAAACAAATAAATCTTAAATTTAATCCATGCCTCATTGTGTTCTTAGGCTTAACATGAGCTCAACTATCTTACTACAGAAACCAATATTCATTTTGGAACTCCCTGAAATATAAGATAATGACGACAAAGCCTATACAAAGTTGTTTTTTCTTGGTAAAGATAGCATCATTTTTGTTCATTTCACTCAATAACTTGCTTCCCTACAATATGATCAGTAAAATAACAAACTCACAGAGGCTATTTTATGCACGAATAAAAATATGGTTCTCACCGTTTCCTTTACCTCTCTCAACAAGGAGATGAACTAACATTTGTATTTTCTGACAGATATATGATATTTTAAAATGGTATCCCAAGCAAGCACTTAAAATGCCAAAATTCGTTCTCCATCCCTGTTTAAGGAATTCCTTAGGGATAAAATGCTAGGCCTGAGCAGATGGGTCAATGGAAGTACAGGAACGAAATCCCTGATTTAACATATTCCTTTTACAGTGGTGTGGAGTGGAGCAGAAAGGAAGACAGGGACTTTCTTTAGCAGGTACCTCAACCCTTGACCCTCTTCATAATTAACTTCATACTAGGAGCTATAGGAGTCTATAGATCTTTTTTTTTTGAGACGGAGTCTCCCTCTGTCACCCAGTCTGGAGTGCAGTGGCGCGATCTCGGCTCACTTCAAGCTCTGCCTCCTGGGTTCATGCCATTCTCCTGCCTCAGCTTCCCAAGTAGTTGGGACTACAGGCGCCCGCCGCCACGCCTGGCTAATTTTTTGCATTTTTAGTAGAGACGGGGTTTCACCATGTTAGCCAGGATGATCTCGATCTCCTGACCTCGTGATCCACCCGCCTTGGCCTCCCAAAGTGCTGGGATTACAGGCGTGAGCCACCGCGCCCAGCCAGAAGTCTATATATCTTAATCAGAGTTTTATTTTGAATTGGACTCTTCCCTGCTGACTATGTGGGTTTCCCACTAATCTTTCACTTGGTAAATAAATTAGATTCTTTTCCCTAACATAACCCCTACTTCCTCTTCCTTTTCCAGAACTCCCAGATAAATAATGTTACCTGGTACATTTGACATGACTTAAGCACTCTGTAATATTCAGTCATATAACATTTCAATCAATTATCCTGAAACATTCTATGCCGCATATCATTTCAGTCTCATACTTACAAAACTTCTAACAAAAGAGTTTGGCTAAGGGGTAGTAATGTAATGGCTGAATTCTCAAAAAAAAAACCCAAAAAAAAAACCTTTTACTTGCCGTTTAAGGACACACACTCTAACTCAAACACTATTGTAATTCCACTACGTAGAAGGGTTCAGGGAAGAACTGAGAAGACAGGAGACAGGAAAAACCTTTAACAATTTGCTAGCTTGTTTTGACTCAGTTCAAATTTAGGTTTTTTTTTTTTCCAAGAGTACAATTACAGAGCTGAAATAGCATATATAATTCCCTTTAAATGCACATTCCCGCTAAATAAAGACTTCAATATTTACCATTTGTTTTCCTCTATTATACCACATAACTGAGAATTAGCCATTTTGTTTTCCTCTCTTATACCACTTTGTTTTCCTCTACTATACAAAATAATTGGGAAGTAAATATATTTAGAATGCGTTTCTGGCATTACATATTTACAACACTGAATTCATAGCCTTATTTTTTTTTCCTCTATGGTGCTCATGGAAGGAATTAGCTGGTGGAATTATTTAGATTCTATAGATAAGATAATTTTATGTAATTGTTCCTGTTACCCAGGCTGGAGTGCAGTGGCACAATCCGCACTGCAAACCTTCCGCTTTCCTGGACGAGTGATCCCTGCTTCGCCTCCCGGATAGCGGGATTGCAGCACTCACCCACCATACCCAGGCCTAATGTGGTTATTTTTTCTTTTTTTGGAGAAGAGGTCTCACTGGTCCTCCAGCTGGAGTGCAGTGGTGCCGATCCTCAGCCTAACTGCCAACCCTCCGTACCACCCCGGGTCAAGCGATTCTCCTGCCTCAGCCTGTAGCAGCTGGGCTACCAGGTGGCGCGCCACCCATGCCCACCTAATTTTGGTGTGTAGTAGAGATTGGCGGTTTCACCAAATTGCCAGGCCTCCGTCCGAACTCCTGACCCATCATGATCCACTGCCGTGTCCGCTCCCCAAAGTGCCGGAGTACAGGCGTGAGGCACTGCACCTGGCGCTTTTTGGGTTTTTGGTAGAGATTGGGTCTTTGCCATGTTGGCTCCAGGCTGGGTCTCCAAAACTCTGACCTCAAGTGATCCACCCACCTCAGCCTTCCGCAACAGTGCTGGGATTCAACATTGAGCCACCATGGCCTTTGCAACCAATAAAATTTTTAATGTGGAAACTATTACTTTTAGTCCTTATAACCCGCAGGAAAGTAAAATATCTCATTAAATTACGTTGAACTGCCGCGAGAAACTGTGAGTGTCAATTAAAAAAAAAAGTGGATGTTGCCATCAGTAATTAATAAATCTCATCAAAATACTGGAGAGTAAAATGCACATTATCATCC